GTACCCGACACCAGCGGCGAGATTACAGATGGTGCCCGACCCCAACGTAACTAATACAGTCGGTACCCGACACCAGCGGCGAGATTACAGATGGTGCCCGACCCTGGTGCCATGAATACAGCTGGTACCCAACCTGGGCGGGGGGGATTACGGATGGTGCCCGACCTGGGCGGGGGAGGGGATTACAGCTGGTGCCCAACCTGGGCGGGGGAGGGGATTACAGCTGGTACCCGACCTGGGCGGGGGAGGGGATTACAGCTGGTACCCGACCTGGGCGGGGGAGGGGATTACAGCTGGTACCCGACCTGGGCGGGGGAGGGGATTACGGATGGTGCCCAACCTGGGCGGGGGAGGGGATTACGGATGGTGCCCAACCTGGGCGGGGGGGATTACAGATGGTGCCCAACCTGGGCGGGGGGGATTACAGATGGTGCCCCACCCCGGTACCTGCACCTGCACAGAAGGAGTTTAACACAACTAACATCAACATCAAACTTTAGAAAGGGTGATAAAAATGTCTCCTTCAATGATGAAGAGCAGAAACACTGTATGCTGACCTCCCTTGTCACTGGAAAATCTCCAACACCATCACGTAACTATAATAGTCATAGTGATTAAGTAGCTTATGCAGCCAGTCATAAAACTGAATATGCTTTTTGTTATCGTTTAACTCAAGCTGTGCTAATCCATTGTGGTTTTCTTTAAATTGTCTGTGCAATACTCTGTTTTCATGGATCTTACAATCCCAATTGTAAAACTAACAACATGCTGTTTTCACATTGAGCGGTGGCTGCAGGTTGGTCACTTTTGGCTCCTGCTGGACTTACAGTAAACGCATCTCTGCCCACGTCGTCCCTCTCAGTGACTCCAGCCTGGCACCATACATATGATCCCATGGCGTTTAAAAAGGGCCGTTTCCGTAACGTTCGTCTGCTGTAATGAGGTCATGCGAGTGCGATGTTTACTGTGCGGTCGGTCTTTGGGGCTGCCGATTGCCCCCCCCCCACTGTGGTGCAGTAGAGCGGGGGAGGTTATCTCTAAGATATCGGCCCTGTTTTCTTGTGTAGTCATCAAAGCCTGTAAATGGGCCCTCGCCTCTCGTTCGTGCTGCTGTAGTGAGATCACGCTGATGTTTCCACGTCGCTGCCGGAGGCCACGTGCTCCGGGGGCCCCAGAGCCGCCCGCTCTCTTTCCACGGGACCCTTCTGTACTTTGCACTCCACAGAGAAATCAGAAGAGTCGGCTGTCACGCTTCCTGTTATCTGGAGGCCGGCCTGCACGTCGGGTACACATTGGGGATGTGCGTGAACGGGGAGCAAATCAAAGGTCTCACCGAGATTATTATTAATTAGTTTTTTAATGGGGCGGTCAGCATCCGTCTGCAGCCTACAACTGCATGCTGGCCAGTGCCAGAACGTGGAAGGTCCAGTCCTGCCGCACGCTCATTTCCTTCCTCTCTCTGGGTCTTCTGTGAACGTGCAGCAGGACCCGAGAGCCGGTGACCGTGACGTCCCATTTTACAAGGCAGTTACACCCTGGCTTCTAATGACGACATGAAACTGATGATTGCATCATGAGTTTCACGGTTTCTTCTATTTCTTTTGGAGGGGGAGGGTGTAGCGAGCGCGGGGGTGTGGATGTGATGTTTCTGCTGATACCCTCTGACCACTGTGGCGTGGGGGTGTGAGGGGAGGTTCGTCTGAGGAGCTGGAGCGACGCTGCGCATGCCGAGGGCAGGGCTGTCGGCACCCGAAAACCGCACGCCCTGCACGTTTATCTGACCTTTTCCGCCCCACTCAGAAATCTGCAGTTTTGAGAGAAGATGGGCCGTTGCGCGATTGGTGACTGGGGCACAGTCTACAGGTGATTTATATCTCTGCACAGGCAGAGAGAGATGCACAAATGGGTGTCTTTTCAGGGTTCTGTTCTACGTCGGCCTTTTTACTATTGAAATGTGTTTTTCCACATTAAAGCATCACATGTGTGCTGGTAGCGTTCATCATGGCCCCCGTCCCGGAAGTGTGCACCCGTGGGAGTCACTGTAGTTCCCCCGCCTCACACAGCTTCCTTCCTCTCCCACTCCAGGCAGAAGCTGACCATTGAGGGCCAGAGCACCGCCGTCATCCTTAACACGCACTTCAGCCTGAAGGCGCCGCGTGGGGGCGAGGTGGGCACGGTGGGCACAGCCCACGCTTGGCCCGCCGTGGCCGCCCGCTTCCCCTGCCCTCTGGCTCGCGCGTTCAGCCTGGCCCACGGGAGCCGGCTCCTCCGCTGCGAGGAGGTGAGTGACCATGGGATGGTCTGAGCGTTGAAGCTGCACGCCACTCACAGATCAAACACCATCGCGTGACCTGCTTGTCTTACAGGCCGCCGGCTCGTCCTGCCGGCCCCCTGCACGGGACCCAGAGACCTGCGACTCCCTCCTGGACCTGATGGAGGTTTGCGGCCGGGCCGGTCGCTTGGACCGCCAGGTGGAAGTTGTGGTGCAGAGGGTGTACTGCCTGCCTCTCCCCGAGCCCCGCCTCCGAGCATCGCTTCCATGCCTGGGCTCTGAGGCTGTGCCATCTGCCCCCACCCTCAGCAGGTACCGCCCACCATCACACCAGGCTGCAGCCGTGGCCAAAAGTTTTGAGAATGACACATGTATTGGTTTTCACAACGTTTTCTGCTTCAGTGTTTGTGGATCTTTCTGTCGGATGTCTCTATGGTATACTGGTATACATGGTATACATAAGCGATGGTATACATAAGCGTCAAAGGTAGGGATGCTCATTTCGATTAATTTTCCCAACCGACAACCGCCGTTCGTTA